GATATATATATATACATATATATATATGTACGTATAGACAAGAGGGCACAGGTGTGAGTTGAATATGAAGGGATATCTTTAAAATGAAATTAAGGGATGAGAGAGAAATGTACTGGGAGAAAGAGAAAGGGAGAGGTAGAATGGAGTAAGTTATCACATAAAATAGGCAAGAAAAAGCTCTTACACTGGAGGGGAAGAGGGAGGAAGTGAGGGGTAGTAAGTGAACCTTACTCTCCTCAGAATTAGCTCAAAGAGGGAATAACATACCCACTCAATTAGATATAGAAATCTATCTTACCCTACAAGAAAGTAGAAGGGAAGTGAGTGGGGGGGTGTGATAGAAGGAAGGGCAGATTGGGGGAAGGGATAGTCAGAAGCAAAACACTTTTAATAATTTTTTAGTTTTTAACATTCACTTCCATATGATTTTGAGTTTTAAATTTTCTCCCCTTCCCTCTCCTCCCTCTTCCCCAAGATGGTGTGCAATCTGATATAGGCTGTACTTATACATTCATATTAAGCATATTTTCACATTAGTCATGATGTAAAGAACAATTAAAACTAATGGGAGGAACCATGAGATTGAAGCAATAAAACAAAACAACAAAGGAAAAAGGAGAGCAAATAGTATGAGAAGCAAAACACTTTCAAGGAGGGACAGGGTGAAAGGAGAGAGAGAATAGAATAAACAGGAGGAGGGGAATAGGATGGAGGGAAATACAGCTAGCAATAGTAACTGTGAAAAAAAAATTTGAAGCAAGTTTGTCTGATAAAGGCCTCATTTCTCAAATACAGAGAATTGAGTCAAATTTAGAAAAATAAGAGCCATACCCCAGTTGATAAATGAACAAAAGATATGATCAGTTCTCAGATGAAGTAATCAAAGCTATCTATAGCCATATGAAAAAATGCTCTAACTCATTAAAACAATTTTGAGGTACTACCTCATACCTATTAGATTGGTTAGTAGGACATAAAAGGTAAATGACAAATGTTGGAGGGGATGTGGGAAAAATGAGACTTTAGTGCATTGTTGATGGAATCGTGAACTGATTTAATCATTCTGTAGAACAATTTAGAGCTATGCCCAAAGGGCTCTAAAACCATGTACCCTTTGACCTAGCAATACCACTACTAGGCCTGTATCCCAAAAGACATAAAAAACAAAAAGGAAAAGGACCTATATGTACAAAAATATTTATAGCAGCTCTTTTCTGATGGTAAAGAATTAGGGGAAAGCCCATCAACTGGAGAATGAAGTTGTGGTATGTGATTATGATGGAATACTATTACACTATAACAAATGATGAGTAGGATGCTCTCAGAAAAACTTGGAAAGACTTGCATGAGCTGATGCACTTAAATGTACTATGTACAAAGTAACAGTAATATTATAAGATGATCAGCTGTGAATGACTTAGCTATTCTCAGCAACACAATGATCCAGGCCAGCTCTGAAGGACTTATGATGAAAAATACTATCCATCCCCAGAGAAAAAACTGATGGTGTCTAAATATAGATTGAAGCATACCTTTTTTTAAACTTTTTTAATTTTTCTTAAGTTTTTTTGTCTATGTTCTCTTTCACGACGTGACTATTATGGATATGTTTTGCATGACTAGACATGTAAAACCTATATCAAATTGTTTGCCTCCTCAATGAGGGGGGATGGAGAGGGAGGAAGAGAGGAAAATTTGGAACTCAAAGTTTTAAAAACGAATGTTAAAAATTGTTTTTACATGTAACTGGGGAAAAATAAAATACTAAATAATCTTAACAGCAACAAAAATCAGTCCTTTTGGCTGCTTATTCAGTTAGTCCACCATGATCATAGAACCAGAGCCCTTCATAGGTATTTGGTTCCACTGGGAGCAAAAAGTCTAATTCAGCATAGGATCTATATCATCAAAAGAAGAGTGGGCCAGTAAACGTGAGTTGGAGTCCCAGTTCTGCCACAGACTAGACTAGTCATGTGACCTTGGGCAAGTAGGTCACTTTGGTTCTCTGGTCTCTTAGCTCTGACAGTCTAGGTTATATTTTACAGCACCTCCTCATTCTAACATTTTATATTTGAAGCTCCCTGCCAGCTCCAAATATCTATGTTCTATGACTATTCATTTAGCTATTCTCTTGCCTTCATCCATTCTATATATTACCTGAGAGAATAATTACAAGAGACATTCATTTGTGTTTTCTTCTTCTAGATGAAGGGAAGCGTCGGGGACCCACTACCATGTGAGAGGCCAAAGCAGGTAAGAATAAGATCCCATCAGAGTTAGTAGCTGCTCATATTTTTATGGTACTTTATGGATTACAAAATGCTTTTTTTTATGATAACCTTGTTAGGTAGATAGTTTAAAAATCATCATTTTAATTTTAAAGAAACAGACTCAGAGCCATAGTTGCCCAGAGCCAAGTGGCAGAGCTGGTCCTAGAACTTAGATCTCCTTGACTCTCAACCTGTTGCTTGTTCTCTCCTACACTACCCTGTATCTCCAGTCTGACTGGAAACATAAAAAGAGGTACACCTAGCAAGAATTTAGACAACAGAAACTTCTCCTTCAAGATGGGGTACTTAGTTTAGTGATATGGACAACATATGTTGCCATAATCTGTTATATTAGCTGAGATAAGACCAGCTTCATTCACACCCAGGATCCCCAGCATAAAGATGAAGTAATACATCGTCCACCAGTACACACAGTAACATGAGTCTGTAAAACCAGATTTGTACTTGGAAAGCAGGGCGGCTGTGTTACCACCCTTTTCACCTGTTCACAGCAATTGAGCATTCAGTTGTGAGCTCTTTTTGAGGACAGGGATTATCTTTTTGCCTTTCTTTGTATCCCTAATACTTAGCACAGTGCCTGGAACATAGTAGGTGGTTAATAAATATTTATTGACTGACTGAAAATAGGCTGTGTGATTACCATATGGTAAAGCAGCTGCTCTCTTTTTTCAGTAACCAAGTGTCAAACTCCATACCCTGTATTCTTCTCCTACTGTCAGAGGCCTCTTGAGACAGATGGGGAATGGAATGGAAGTTAGTTCCTACCTTCTACTGTGCTTCCTCTTGGCTAAGGCAGCCACCAACAAGAGTTTACTGCAGCTCCAAATGATGCCACCTCCAGAAAACACCCTCCCCCCCATTTCAAATATCTTTTTGAGAAAGCATTTTGAGAAACATCAGCCCATGGCTATTTCTATTAACCACCCCCAGTTTTGTTTTGATTGAAAGCTGGAAGGTTATGAATTCAAGGTGAGGTCAGTAGCCAAGAAGAAGCAATTTGAAAAGAGGAGCCTGCCTCTGTTTCATAATCCCTGAAAAATGCATAATTATCAAAGCCCAAACCAACCAGTTCAGCAAGCTTGGGATTGCCTTTTAACTGGCCGATTTAAAAGTAAGTTCCAACCATTGTATCACCCTGCTAATGAAAACAAGAAGCAGCATGTACTCCCAAAGCTGAGGCTACACTCTTAGACTCAAAAAGGATTTTTCAGAATTCATCTAGGCCAACCCACACCTGAAGTAGTGCTACGGTGTTCTCAATAGGCAGTCAGCCCATGCATGAACTCTTCCTGTGACTCTGTATTTCTGTAGTGTAAATAAACTCTTGGCTAGATTCTCTGTCCTGTTAACCTGTATGCTTGCAAGAGAACTGAGGGCCTCCACTCTGAGAGACAAGCAGACTGTTGATGGAAGTTCTCATCCCCTTCCTAGCATCCCGTTGGCTAAGGAAGCCAACCAGCAAGATTTTGCCTTAGCTCCTAGTGGTTCCCTAGGTGTTGGCATGAATGAGATTTTGTAAGAGGCTTCCAAAATTGGAACCAAATCTATCATGTCAGCAGCCAAAGCCTAAATGAAATACAGGTTACCTTTGGGGGCACTTTAACTCATGAGGCAGCCCATTTCACTTGGTATGACCTATTTAGAGTTTTTCCTTATATCATACCAAAACTTACCTTTTTTTTTTTTTTTTTTTTTTTTTTTTTTTTTTTTTTTTTTTTT